ACTTGAAGCTCCAAATACAAGATCAAAGCAAACGTTGTAGTCGGGACCTTAAGTCTTTAAATACTATTACAAAAACAGTTAACTACATTTAAGCAGAGTACAGTAGTCTGGTAAGAATCCTCTTCAACCGGGTGCTACTACCACACAGCACCAAAGCAGCCTTTGTCAAAGCCTGTTAATCTTATCATGGTCTCTATACTATACCGGTTTTGATGCTGAGAACCCCAGTATTCTTCTTGCTAAGCTGGACAGTGTATCTGGCATTTCTAGTTCAGCCCTCAGATGGTTTACTACTTATTTCCTACAGAGATGGCAATCTGTCTCCATGAGTGTGTTCAGGTCTGTTACTGCATTGGTCTCCTCTGGTGTCGCCAAGGATGGTGTGAATTTCCACCTTAACGCTGACGAGACGTACTGGAAAATCAAACACGACAGGACAGCGGCTGCCTCTTTGTTTACAAACTGCGTTGCTGTCGTTAAACCTCAGATCCTATAATATTTTTGTATTTATGGAGCAGTGAATAGACTGAGGGCATGTTACTAGGTTCCCTGCATCAACAGCGAAAATTATAATTATGCAGTTAGTTTAATTAAATCAACTTTAATTGTTGTCTAATCGAGGCAACAGGTAGCAATTTCTCTTTCCATGCTCCTAGGCTGTGAATTACTCTTTTCTAGGAGAATAGGAATTATGGATTTATTGTAATTCTGCATTTTTCGGGAAGTTATTTGTTTTCTCCATTGTCCTTTTCTTTGCAATTGCTTGTTTCTACATTCGTTACCCAGCTCCTGGGGAACCCTGAATAAAGAATATACCTTAATTGTGCTTTACTTACTGCAAACATCTACAGTATAGGTATCTGCGGTACTACAGTTCACTTCTCAGGTCTAATTGATGTTGTATGTTCTGTTTATTCTCAGTTCTGTTTTCGCATAGTTTGTTAATAGATTGACTTCCCAGTTCAGTAAGAACTGCTTTTATAAATTCAGTAAGGTGACTAATAGGAAATGATGTGTAATACTAATTCACACCCTTTGATGTTTTCCTCCTAATCTCACCCCAGAGGTTTTTCAGGAATATAACCCCAAAAAATATCATGACAAGACTGACAGGGCATCTACAGAATGCTTACATATGAAAGGTTAAATAGGTCAAAGTTAAAAGAGGTAAATTTTTGAATTAACATTGGGATTAACAAGCAGATTTAGCAGCTGCTCTGGTAAAGCTCACAATAATTCTATGAAATAAACATTCAAGGTAAATGTTTCAAACTTGAACGCTTTGAGAAAGTGAGTTTCTGGACACAGAATCTTAAATCCATCTGAGTGACAGTTGTTTCTCAGGCCTAATGTGATCACCACATTTGTAAATTATCTAGCATAAGATCCTGTCTCGATAGTTACAGTAGGCCTACTTATCCTTAGAGATATACAATCTATTTAAATTAGCTAAATTTAAATAACTGAGTAAAACTGGCAACCCACAGAACTTAATAAACTTCTGTACATCAGCTCTACAGCTAGAGTGTTAAAAATGTTGGTCTACTCGGCAGAACTGTTTTTATATCAATTATGTTGCATTATGTCTTTAGGAAGTAGGCCTACTTGTATGTTTGTTGTACAAACAAACATACAATTATTTTGTACAACATTTATGCACATTCTAAAAATCTTTTAACAGTTCACTTTTGTGAAACACATTTGTATATTTAATTAGTGACAGTGTATTTTCTCTTACTAGTTCTACTGAATATTCTGAATATTAGTTTCACAAAGGGAGAAACTTTGATTATAATTTGCATGAGATAGAATTACACCAAAACCCCGGATGGTTTTCTGATAGTGATGAAAAGGCAGACTCCTTTTTTTAACATAAAGCAGCTGATCTCAAAGCAGTAAATGCAGCATAAAACCTGTCTGTCTATGGAAAGTAAATGAATAGCACTAAATAAAAATAAGGCTTGAACAGAACAGTAAATATATGCATTTACATGTTGCAAAACACCATTGTCTAACATCTTAGCTGCACATACTGTAAATATATACTGCTGGATAGTTACTGGCTTGCAAACTAGGCTTCCTTCTGAAAAGGAATGAGGAATGATAGCCCTTTTTTAAAAGCTCAGACTAAATCTTACACACCCAAAGAGTCTCAACAGCCCAAATTGCACAGTACAGCACACCATGAATTCTGTGCTTTAGCACCTGCAGTGGCTCTGTACCTAGATCTCCATAACTCTGAGACCAGCACATAACACTGAGTGGTGTACTGGGAGAGAGAAGACACTGAACTGCTTGTCTGAACATCAGCCAGCCCAAGAAGACCCCTGCCCCCCCGCCCCCAACACACACCAGGTGGAGCAGTCGTGAGGCCAGTGAGGTGATGAAGAGCTATGTGAGGAATGGAGGCTGGGAGAGGGATGTTTCTTACCCACATTAAGTACTTTGTGAAGTGTTTGTTCTACTAGTAGTTCAACTAGATCCATGTATGAGGAGCTTCTCCAATAGTGAATGGGTGGAAATTAACAGGTAATATTTCCATCGATCCAGGTCTAGTAAAACACTTCCTGTATGTTTGCTGTAGTCTTTGAGATATATATTCCAGATATTGTTCAAAACAGCAACCAACAAGGACTACAGCTGCAACCTTAATGTGCTAAGTGACTGTCATACACAGGGATATACAGATCTCCAGTGTAACAGGTTGGCATTGTAAATTTTGCATACATGTTTTTCATTTAACATGAACAGATTTCACTTGAGTATACATATCTTCACTTCACGGTAAAACCGTTTTCTCTTCTGCACCTCAGTTTGAGACATCTTTTTCACTTTTCCTATCATGGCATCTACTTTCACATGTTCTCTTGGGTTTCTATTAGACTACTGAGATAACTACGGAAGGTGTTCTATTATGATATTAGAAAAACCTCTAAAATGTCAACCATTGTCCTGATAATAATTGCTCACACTTATATAGTGATTTTCTGGAGACTCCACTGAGCCTCATTGGGCTGCCAGCTGTGAGCTTCAGCTGTGGGCTATATACCAATTCTCTTCCACAACACCCCTCAACAAGTTACTAATTTCCAAACTAGTCCTTATTCATTCAATTTCATTGATAAAATAAGGTAACACATATGAATTATTACCTCTATGATATATATATATATTTTATTTTCATAAGGGAGCTCAACAGTAAGTCACAGGGGCATAAATATGGTTTTGTGTAAACTAGTTCTTCTTAATAGAAAAAAGTGGGATAGATAAATAATATATTGCACATTTCCAGCACTACAATATTACTACTGAACTTAAGCACACTGTTGAAAGTATTAGAGTAATTGCTGGTATCTGTTGACTTAGCCTTTCCAAAGAGGTACGTGAAGACAAAATAATGCCGACTTGCTTTAACAGCTGCAGCAATTAATTTCCTTCTACAAGGTGTCAAGAGTAGAAGTAATCACATGACTGACACTCCCAAGTGTGGAACCAACTCTTGGCACATATGGAAGGTTAGAGATGCTCACAAACAGATAATGAAACGGGACAACCACTCAAAGTGTGAAACAAACTTTGAGTCACACTGTTCAGTGGGGCAGAGCCGGAGTGTGTTGCTGAACTTGTTGAGCTCAATAAAACCCGAACCTGCACCAGGCCACCTCCTACTCTTCTGACTCAGTACTTCCCACAACAAAGAGAGAAGTTTAAATACTAAACCTGACCAGGAAAACATTCTTTTATTCAACTTCCTTCTTACAGACATTGCACTTTCTGTACCTCTGTTTTGAAGTACAGTACAGATAACTGTACTGGATCATTCATTCTCCTGTTACCAGCTCGTTCACCTGTTTTTTCAGGTTTAATAAATATCTGTAAGATGCTGCACAGCTGCCATCATTCCATTTGTATAAAGCTTTATTGAACTGAAGATAAAAAATTTAAATCTTTTTTATTTAAAAAAATAAAAAAGTATTTTTAGTATTTTTTTCTCAACAGTAACAGTAGAGAAAACAGTAAGTTAGCTCCTCTTCACCACGTCTCTCATACTGTATGAACATATGAATATGCACCAAGCATCTAAAGTTATTATATGTAGAAAGTTATTATCCGAATTATTTCAAATAGGTAACGAAGCTCGATACAGCTTAATTGGAACCAACTGTGCTTCTCTCTCTAAAGATTCATCTTTTTCTGATATGTCATACCAGCTATCTCAGAATGTGTAACACTTTCTAACTTTTAAGCGATGGGCTGCCATAAATTTATTTATTGTTGAATACAAACCCTTAAATACTCTACATAGGAGTTTACAAAGCAAACCACAGGCAGTAGATTTGACTCCGATACCTCATCACTCAGATAATTTCACTGTGTAAGGTCCTGTAAGAGAACTGTATGGAAAGTCCAGATTCTTGCGGTGTTGCGCAGCATTTACAATAACTATTTTAAGTCTGTTCTAAAGCCCAGACATCTAAATCAATTCGTTGTTACTGACATTTGCATTGTTCGAAATTGTGTGGTTTTCGCCACCGTGAATAGAGTAAAACATACGCAGCACGCAAGAAATTGTCTATTGCACAAGTAAACACCTTCATGTTTGGAGCATTTGTATGGGGTTTGACAAAGAGTAAATAGATGCATCACTTCTGCCCCTTTTTTAAAGCTGATAACCAAAGACCAAGCAAAATATCAAGTGTGTTAACAAAGTAATGATTTCCCAGCTTGTCTCTCTGATTTAATTGAAACATTCATCCGGTAGAAAGAGAGAGAGAGAGAAAAGATGTTGGCAAGTCTCCTCGCCTGTTTTCACCGTAACACCAGGGCGTCGATCTGAACTACACTCAACACGTACAGTACGTGCTCGCAGTCAGATTGCAGTCATGAATCACTGCTTTGGGGGCAGATAACACAAAGCTGAAATACCGCACAGGAGAACGGGGCAGCCGGTGGACCCCAGCGCACGTCTCCCCTCGTCGCCTCCGCAGCAGCCCGATTACCTGGGAGCTGAGGTATCGCTGCAGGCAGTCCCCGCACACAGCCCGCCTGCAGCAGGAAAGCGGCTCGATGTGCTTGTCGTCCAGACAGATGCGGCAGGTCAGGACCACGGAGAGCCCGCGGTCCCCGGCGTGCGGGTCCGCCGAGGTCCTGGAGTCGATCACGCCGGACACGGTGAAGGGCTCCGCGGCGGAGCGACGCGGGTCCGGCTCCGGGTCCATCTGCGGGGGCCGGTCCCTCTCCGGCTGGGCGGGGACGCCCGGCTCCACCGGCGGGGTCGTCCGCCCCCCACCTAGGCTGAGCCGCGCCCCCAGGCTCTCCGGGGGTCCCCAGCAGTGGCCGCTTTCCACGCAGTACACCGTGCAGTAAACATGCCCCCCCTGCAGACCGTGGCCCTCGGACCGGGCTAACCCCACCTCGTCCGGGTCGGGCGACGCAAACCCCGGCGTGTCTTCTGCTTTGCCCGGCTCCTCTCCGGCGACGCGACGGGCTTGATTTTCCCGTCCGGGGCTCCTCCCTCGATCCCCGCTGTCCGTCCCCCGCTGCAAAACGACCCCGACGACTGATCCGACACGATCCCGCTGGTCATCTGATGAATTGTTGTTGATGTTAGCCAGGGGTACAGGCACTCCCAAATTTCGCCTTAGGATGTCCACCGCGCTCGGCTTTCTGTTGGTGTCCCGGTCACTGCTATCCTCACTGCCCCCTACTTCTGACCTGCACTTACGCGAGCCCAAAACATCGCTGGCTTTAATAACTTTCCTCTCTCGGCTGGCAAAATCTGTATCCCGGATTCCCTCTCCGTCGATTACTCCTTCTGATAAATCACCAAGGACGTCCGGGTCCAGTCCCGTGAGAAAACCCCGCATTTCTTTGTCGGCAACGTTTACAGAGATTTGTTCATCTTCCATTCCTGAGGTATAACTTCCCATTCGCGTTCAGGTTTTTCTTTTTTTTTTAACTCCAGTGATGTGCATGCAATCAAACAGAGCCCTACTGTAACTTCTGCTTCCGGGTCTCTTGTTAAATGAAAATAAACCCTCGGGAGGTTTTTCAGACTTTATTCTGTGCCTTTGAAAAACGCTAGTCCGCTTAGTTTTACTGTATAACCGTCTGTCACGGCCTCGTTTCATGTGCAAACACAGATCATCCTTGAAATTCGTGCACTTTCCCTTTTTTAAACCCAATAGTTTTTTTTACGCTATGCAATCTCAGGAGTTCCCTGAGAGACAGCCATCCCACAGTTTACACACTGCTTTCGCATTTGCGAAGGTCTGTCCCAGCTGGTTCTGTATTTGTAGTATAAGCGCATTTGGAAAAACACCGGTTCATGGGTAGGTACTTTGTACGCGACACAGCAGGGATTGTTTAGTTTTGAAGTGTTGTTAGTGGAGGCGTTGTTGTGGGTGCTGTAGCAGAAATAGTTAATCGTTTATTTTAAAAAAAGTGCTTATTCCCGCATTGTTGCCAGTCTCTGGCCTGAACAGTAAAGGCTGATTTCAAACATCACCGCTTGCAGATTTCTCTCCAAGCTGCAACAAGGGACTTGGCATGTTCCCAGAGAAAGTGCGGGGTTTGTGTCTGCTCAGTTAGTCAATCTTAGTTTTTTTGGCACCAGTATCCAGACGACACATTAGGCATATTAAAAAGGATCACAGTGAGCACTGTGCACCCTCTGAGTTCCTTTATACAGCGTGGAGGAAACTACTGCACGTCATTTTCTGTCCTTGTTTACATGTAAAGTGCTTTTCTAATGAGCTATGTTATATAAAAAAAACAAAGTAAGTTTAGGAGTGTTGATTATTCAGAGGTGCGGTTCTAATAACCAGATAAACAGGAAAAACCTGACCCACCAGGCTTCCTTCGTGTCTGGTGCTGCTATCCACTAGAGGCTGCTGAGCATTGGAGGTTGATTTCACCTCACCCTGCTTTCAATAACCTCTAATCCAGCTCAGGGTTATGGTGACCCAGAGCCTTTCCCTGCCATCGTCTTTGTCCCCAATGTCAGATATCCCAAGGTTATAGGTATAATATGAGGCATCTGAGTTCATTACTGTCTGGCACAGCTCTGATAAAATAGTAATAAATCAGAGGCTAATTAGGACAAACAAACGTTTTATTAACAATAACAATAATACTGTAACGCTTACGGCCGACAGGTACTGTATAAGAGCCGGCGTACCAGAGCGGGTGACGTCACCGCCCTTCCCTGTGATAGCAGGACC